CCCGGTGCACTGCCATCATAGTAATTTGCTGCAAACATCTCAAGCTGGCTTCTGGGGTGCTGAATGACATCAGATGCCCTACTATTCCAAGGTGGCAAATGTCGTGTTCAAGGAAGGGTGTTCGCCAACGTAAGGTTCTGCCGCGAGCCAGCCCTAATGCTGGAGCTCTACGAGAACTACGATTGCCCGAGCCCTTAGACATTCGACCGCTCCCAGCTGTGGGCAGAGGAACATACATGTGGTTGGAGGCCACCAGCTTGCACAAGTCATTCTTAGTATGCGCAGTGGACTGTTTCTCCCTTCTCACCAAGGGATCTCGAGAGCAATTATTTGCATATACAAAATGCTTTGTCACCTACACATGATGCATGTTATCACCAGGACCCATTCATGATCTGTGAGTTTCAAGTGGTTTTTGCTCCTGCATGAATTCTGAATTGCACCTCCATGCCTGTGTTGTCACGGACTACCGATCCTTTGATACTCATTAATGATAAACACTGTAATTCGACACGGAGCTGCGCCATCGCTTTTTCACCGACATGTTGCCCATCCGCGTTGAGGCATTTCTGCAGGGAGTTGTACCCCCACAAGCCCTGAACATGATCTTCTGCAGGGTGCATGTCTAGGGGCTTCACGCCATGAGGCAACCCATCTCAATCGTCAAGCGATGTTTCTTCCTGCCACCCGCTGATACTGTAGCTCCAGTCAGCCATGAACCAGTCATGCCACCTGCGAGCCACTGCATTGTGCGCAAATCGGACCAGGCGACGTACGTTGCACGAATCTCTTTGAGACCTTAGCCCAGCTGCCGTGTTTCGGGCGGGATTGAGACCTGCAGGGATGAATATTTGCAAGATTCACTGCAGATGCAGTTGTGCTTCACTTTCTAAAGATGCTTGAGCAGAGCCTGCAAACCGCGGCCGTTTGGCCATGTCAAACTGGTTCAGCGCTAATTTCAGTTTCGCCGCTACTGCGATCCAACAGTGTTGACAGCCAAGCAAAGGATGCTGGGGCGGAGGACTCCTGCAAGATGACGGTTGCCCGTTTCTTACAAGCGACAAATTCTTCTGGCTCTTTGCATGTTGGCCAGGTTAAGTTCCTGGTAACACATTCCGTGCCGGAAGAAGGTGCCGGGGAGCTCGAACTTTTTGCATGCCTTTCCTCGACACAGGCTGTCCCCTAGGGTACTAGCCATTTGGTGTGGAAACGACAAAACTTACGTTGGCAATGTACCAAACACTTGTTGGGGAGCAAAACACTGTAGCTTTGGCAGAAGAATAGTGCTGTTGTCCAGTGTCTTCCTAGAGCATTGTTTGAGCCTACGTAAGCACGGGTAGGCACTTCATGGCTTTGACTGGGAAGCACAACTGAGGTACAGGCCTTCAATTCCTTGAACAAGCTCGCCTTCAGCGGTCTTTTGTTGATGCCTTAGTGGGCAAGTCTGCGTCTGACCGGATGAACTCGGCAGAAGCGGCCTGATGGCTCCTGCTTGTGACCTGGCCTCAGGTCGATTTTGCACTCCCTGGCGCTGCGATGTGAATCCCACAAGCTCGGAGCTCGGAGTATCGCCTGATGCAAGAGGAGCGAACACGACCACCCACGACGAGATGTGATGCTCCAAAGTTGCCTTGGCTTGAGGTTTGGGAAAGGCTTGCGGTTTGCGCCTCTTAAGCGCAAGTGAGTGCAAGATTTCCTGAACGCCAACTGGGGCGAAGGTGGCTGGAGGAGTGAGCCATGCGGCTTTTGAGGCACTTCCGCAGTAACACGCCGTTGGAGTCCGAGCAGATGGGCCCAGCCGGACCACCCAGGTTTGCCGGAACTGGAGGGGGCTTGGAGGGCAGACAGCCGATGTGGGGGTTGCTCAAATCGAAGCTTTTGCGACCATGGGCCAACAAGGGCCAGCCCCTTTAAATCCAAGTGAGTGGTGATATTTTGCTCCGCCACCTCGGCCATCTCACGAGGGTTAGGCTTTTCTTCCAGAAAGGGGGCTGCCACCCAACCCATGAAGGGGCGCCGGGCATTTATGTGCTCCTTGAGCCTTGCCTGCAACAAGTCCCAACCTGTCACAGAGTGGTTTGCAGCTGGCTCGACTTGACCATGCATTTGCAGAGTCTAGCATGGCGTTGGATGGTCGAGCATGACCGCCCGGCTCGCTCCATGCAGCTCGGGGGTTCAGGATACGTCGGGCTGTGTTGGAAAGTCTGGCTAAAACAGATGGTACAACTAAGCCGAGGAACGTTGGGGTATGTTGGCCTACGGTTGATGTTCTGCCAAAGCCGAGTGCCTCCAACGAGTGCCCCTTTTCGAAAAGTAGGCGGCTTGCACCAGTCAAGCCAGTGCTCTTTCACCCTTCCACCCTCCTGGATGGTTTTTAAAAGTGGCGCCAACTGACAGCGCCCCCTTTGCGTCCTGTAGCCGCTTGATGACCCTCGGGTATGGTGAACCACCGGCCCAGACCACGCCCACTTCGGGGGAGACGGAGCTCCGGAGGAAGAAGGCGTGGTGGTCGGGAAATCCGGACCCTTGCTTTTCAACTGCTGATCGCCCAGATTTGAGCTGGCCCGAATCTACACTCTCGAAGTGTGACCGAATTTCCTCTCGTCTGGCGCAGTCTTTTGTTTGTCGTTGGGTTGCTTGAGGAGTCTCCGTCACTGCAAGCGATGCTCCTGAGGCTGCCATCCTACTCACGGGGATCAGCCTAAGCATGGTGAAATGCTCACTGCTGACTGCTAGCTGCCAGACGGACAAACTTGGTCACTGAATTACAGGAAATCAAGCGCATGAGGCAATGGGCCCCCTGCGAGGGTTCAGAAACAATTCGAGCCGTGCAAAACACCGTCGCTAAGCCCGATGAGTCGTTCTGACCTCGTTTTGCTTACCAGCCTGTCCTCAGTTGGCCCTCCGGCGTTCTGCTCTTTCCTGAGTCTGGCAAAGGCATCCCACAACCGAACACCTACTGTAGCTGGCCAAGAGCTTTGTTTCTGGAACACCCTTTTCGCATGTGACCTCTTGCAGTGCTTTCCTGCCACGACTGACTTGTTTCGCCAGGAGCAGAAGCGGCGCCTCACGATCGCAGCACGGGCCTTGTTTCTGAATCGATCGTCCGCGTGTGTGCGCGTGCGAGGTGCTGGGAGACTCCTTTGGGCCTTTGAAGCCAGGGCCGCCGGGGAAGACAATGTTGGATGCCAAAAGGAAGTCAGTCACATGGGATGGGGTTCACAATTTGGAGAAGTACGACATGTCCTTGTATGAGCCTCCCAACGCTGCTCAAAGAGAATGGAAAGCTAGATGATGGGTCAATGTGATGGCATGCACAGAAGCACATTGGCTGATTGACCGGCATTGATTTCCAAAAAGCATTGTTCTAAACACCTGGTCCAACACCCTAGGCATATTGCTGCTGGTTGGAAACAAACGATGGCAACAAACGACGGGGTTGAGTTCCCTAGACTACGCGTTCTGATGCTTTTGGGATGACATGGTCATCATTGTTTTACAGCTGAGATGTGGATCCGCAGAGGCCAGTGTTTGGAATCTCTGTTGCACCATGCAACAAATGTCGTGCAGGTATTTTGTTAAACTCCAGATTCGAGCATTCTCAGTCTTGATATATTCGTTTTACTTGACAATCACAACGTAATCATGGGGATGGCCACTTGGTATCACGATTTTCCACAATCATGAATTGTGGTGGGACTTTAAGGGGAATTTAAGGGGTCAACTGGTAGCCACGCACGAGAGTTCCGATTCAACGCCCTGGCTGCGCATTCAGTCAAGGAGGAGGTTGGAAACTTGCACTGGTTGAACCAGCCGGCAGTCCTCATCGGCTGGTTTTTTTTTCAAGCGCGACAACAAAACCAAAAGCTCGCTGCGTGAGTTTGTTTCTGCCTGCCAGTGAAAGTGAAAAACCCACCGTGTGTCCAAAACAGATTCCGTGTTGGGTTTCTTTTGGAAACTGATTCTAAGTTTGTTGGAGGAAGGGGGTCACCTGGTTGTCGAGCACTCGCGGGCGTGTTGGACAATAGGGGACCGCCTGTTGTTTGAAGGAAGTCCAGAAGAGAACATAAACATGTATGGGGTCACATTTCAGCACTCCCAAATACATTCCTGCCGCCCAGCCCACCATGTGTTCTGTGCTTGGCACGCCACATTTGAGTATTCTTCGAAGGTGTGCAGCCGTGCAAGGCCGCAGCGATGTAGCCAAAGCTCCGTATCGATGAGCGGACGGCGAAAGGGTCTATTGACCTTGGCTACCCTGGTTTCCATCAGCTGGTTTGCCGGCTTCGGCTTGGTCACTCGGGCCTCAGGGCTGGCGCCAGCTTGGTGGCGGCAAGGCCGGCCACGGGAACTGCACGGCAGCCGGGCAGAGGTGGAGTTGTTGTCCCAGGTGGCGCGGGTTCTGATGCCGGACGAGCCGATTGGAGAGCGCTTCCGGCGCTTCCCGCCGCCTGCGGGATGGAAGGGGCATTACTTGGATCCTGATTTGGCAGCGCATGGGGTGCTGAACTCACCGAATGCCGCGCTCTTTGTGGAGTACGACGGGTTCTGGCGGCATGGAGAGGCGGAGGGCAGACGGAAAGATGCGAGGAAGACGGCGGCCTTGCTGGCTTTTGCGCCGCCTGGGTCCAAGGTGCTGCGGATTGGGCATCTTGCAGCAGCGGAGGGGCATACACAGGCCGAGCATATTCGCCTGAAGCCTTGGAGCCAAGGACAGGGCCGATCCTTACGGAGCATCTTGTCCGTGCTGATGCAGCGCATGGCCAGCGTTTTGGGGAAGGACTTACGCTCAGATGTTCGGTAGAAGCTGCGAGACTTTGGGGAGCATGCTGCTTGTGAAGATGCAATCTGTTATGCCACTTCGGCACCAGTGTGGCACAGATTGCAACCTAACTGCGTTATAGTTGCCCTTGAAGGACCTTGGGTTGGGCAAGCAAGAAATCGCAGCGCTGGGTTCCCGCTGTCGGGTAGTCAGTGAGACATCAGTGCGCCAAACAATCATGTTGCTGAAAGATGTGGGCTTGCGCAAAGCGCAGATCGCGAAGGCAGTGGCTTCTCGTCCGTCATTGCTGGGCTGTAGTATTGAGGACAACCTGAAGCCAACCGTGCGCTGGCTTGCAGCGCTGGGGTTGAGCAAAGAGCAGATCGCGAAGGCAGTGGCTTCCTTTCCGTCGTTGTTGAGCTGCAGCATTGAGGACAACCTGAAGCCAAGCGTGCGCTGGTTTGCAGAGCTGGGGTTGAGCAAAGAGCAGATCGCGAAGGCAGTGACGTCTTGTCCGTCATTGCTGGGTTGCAGCATTGAGGACAACCTGAAGCCCACAGTGCGCTGGTTTGCAGAGCTGGGGCTGAGCAAAGCGCAGATCGCGAAGGTAGTGGCTTCCTTTCCGTCGTTGCTGAGCTACAGCATTGAGGACAACCTGAAGCCCACAGTGCGCTGGTTTGCAGACCTGGGGTTGAGCAAAGCACAGATCGGGAAGGCAGTGGCTTCTTGTCCGTCATTGCTGGGCTGCAGCATTGAGGACAACCTGAAGCCCACAGTGTGCTGGTTTGCCCAGCTTGGGTTGAGCAAAGCGCTGATCGCGAAGGCAGTGGCTTCTCGTCCGTCATTGTTGAGCTGCAGCATTGAGGACAACCTGAAGCCCACAGTGCGCTGGTTTGCAGCGCTGGGGTTGAGCAAAGCGCAGATCGCGAAGGCAGTGGCTTCTTGTCCGTCATTGCTGAGCTACAGCATTGAGGACAACCTGAAGCCAACCTTGCGGTGGTTTGCAGAGCTGGGGTTGAGCAAAGAGCAGATCGCGAAGGCAGTGGCTTCCTGTCCGTCATTGCTGGGCTGTAGTATTGAGGACAACCTGAAGCCAACCGCGCGGTGGTTTGCGGAGCTGGGGTTGAGCAAAGAGCAGATCGCGAAGGCAGTGGCTTCTTGTCCGTCATTGCTGGGCTGCAGCATTAAGGACAACCTGAAGCCCACAGTGCGCTGGTTTGCAGACCTGGGGTTGAGCAAAGCGCAGATCGCGAAGGCAGTGGCTTCTCGTCCGTCATTGTTGAGCTGCAGCATTGAGGACAACCTGAAGCCCACAGTGCGCTGGTTTGCAGCGCTGGGGTTGAGCAAAGCGCAGATCGCGAAGGCAGTGGCTTCTTGTCCGTCATTGCTGAGCTACAGCATTGAGGACAACCTGAAGCCAACCTTGCGCTGGTTTGCAGAGCTGGGGTTGAGCAAAGAGCAGATCGCGAAGGCAGTGGCTTCCTGTCCGTCATTGCTGGGCTGTAGTATTGAGGACAACCTGAAGCCAACCGCGCGGTGGTTTGCGGAGCTGGGGTTGAGCAAAGAGCAGATCGCGAAGGCAGTGGCTTCTTGTCCGTCATTGCTGGGCTGCAGCATTAAGGACAACCTGAAGCCCACAGTGCGCTGGTTTGCAGACCTGGGGTTGAGCAAAGCGCTGATCGCGAAGGCAGTGGCTTCTCGTCCGTCATTGTTGAGCTGCAGCATTGAGGACAACCTGAAGCCCACAGTTCGATGGTTTGCAGCGCTGAGGTTGAGCAAAGCGCAGATCGCGAAGGCAGTGGCTTCCTTTTCGTCATTGCTGAGCTACAGCATTGAGGACAACCTGAAGCCACCCGTGCGGTGGTTTGCAGAGCTGGGGTTGAGCAAAGAGCAGATCGCGAAGGCAGTGGCGTCTTGTCCGTCATTGCTGGGCTGCAGCATTGAGGACAACTTGAAGCCCACAGTGCGCTGGTTTGCAGAGCTGGGGCTGAGCAAAGCGCAGATCGCAAAGGTAGTGGCTTCGTTTCCAAACATTCTCGTCTACAGCGTCAGTGCAAACTTCATGCCGAAAGTTGATTTTTTGTTGACATACTTTTCCAGACCCGATGTTGGTGCTTTGATTGCCCGCTGTCCACAATGCTTGGGCTACAGCTTTGGGCGCCTACGAGCTCGCGTGTCTCTATTAGCTTCTCAAGGCCACCTGTCGAAGTTGTGCACAGCAATTAGGCTTACGCCAGTCTCCTTTGATCGAAGATACAGGCACTGAAAAGCGCGCGCTAATATGCGATGTGTTCTGCTCAACTTTCTTTCAAACACGTCGAGCCCTGACGAAGTCCTGGTGAAAGCTGACATGCGCTTGATAATTATTCAGATATTTCCCAGCTTTCTTTTTTTTTTGGTGAACGCATTCCTTGCCGACGGGCCATGATCTTCCCCTCGGGGGTAACGCGCAACGCAGCCGAGGCGCGCACCTTCAACAGCGAGCCGCCGGGAGCTTGGCGCAAATCAGGCGGTGCATGTCTGCTGGGTGTAGAGCTCCGAGCCCCAGTCCAGTTCCATCATTTTGGACAAGAGCGTCAAGAGCAGGGCCAAAGATGCAAACAAGGACAAAGGCGCTATTTGTCCGTCACTCCTCCAGTGTTGACACAGTGTGGGTGCAGTGCAGTCGCTCTGGCTGCAGAAGAACCCCGAGGGGACCCAGCTCAAGAAAGTCCCAAAATCTTTACGACAGGCTCAATCCAGCAGACTTCAGGAGAGTGGATATTTGTAGGCCTTAGAGGAACGCAAATGGAATGGAGAATCTATTCAAATATGTTCAAATTTGAGAGACCCTGCAGTCAGCACCCAGAGTAATTCTCCTAAACTTCAAGTCAGCCGGCGCCGGTCTGTGCTCTCCCCCGGACCTTTGTGCAGAGGTCCAAGAGCACCGCAGCCTTGCAGAGCCTGGGTCTGCTGACCAACCCCGTGACCCCCGAGTCCATGGCGGAGCCCCGCGCCCGGTTTGGGGGGGGAGAGAGGGGGAGGGGGGGGCTGGAAGACGGCAAGACTCAGGCGGAGGGGTTTAAACGCCACAATGAGCAAGGAGTGCACTGCCCCGTCTGAGGTGCCAGGGTAAGTCAGGGGGGAATTTTACCTATCGAAATGAATTCGTTCCGTGTGAAACTGTTTATTCCTTTTAGAAACACACCTTAGTAGCGGCGTGTTTCATTTTGTTTTAAATGCAACTAGTAGACTCGACGGCACCACTCGCCGTTTTTGCCAAGAAATGGCGGCATATTCCAGATCAAGAGAAGTGCGTGATGCGAGCTCCTTCACTGTCATCACAATCCGGCGTTGAGCTCCAGTGTTGTTTCACGCCTAACTTATATGTCAGCCACGCGCGCCAGCCTTTGGTGGAGGGATGGCTTCAGAGGACGGATATGCACTGGAGAATCATCCAGATGAAATACGTCATTGTAATCTGACTCCCAAGACCTGTCCGAACAGTGACGGACAGGGAAGTACAAGGAAGCTGAGCATGGCTGGGCTTGGTCATATTTGCTCATGATATCACGCCCATGCACAGGTTGATCATATCCAACATACAAGAAGACACCTGATAACGGTCAACGCGTTTGGTTCCGCGACAGCAGGATTAGTAGAACGAACTTGGACAGCAACATGGGTCTGTCTTTTTTTAGCGCACCCCCCCCAAAAATGACGGTGTTCCTTTTGGTTTCCCTTTAAAACCACCCGAAAAGGGGCACCTCACAAGAAGACAGACCCACATGGCCCTGATGAATTCTTCCCTCTTCGGGTCAGTTCTTAAGGCCAGGAGACGGTTCCTCTTGCCTTCGGCTTGTCGGTGCCGAGGTTTCTGCGGCACACTCCTGGCTTGGACATGCGCGTTGCCGGCGGCCCAGGGGTGTGTGGCCGTGTTTGAAGGACAGAGTTGCTGTGGGGGAACTGGGGAACTCAAAAAGATGGCAAGCCATGAACATGTTCTTTTTTTTGCTCATTATAGAAGAAGTAGGAAGCACCAATCTGACATGCGGTTTCTTGTGTTCAGGTGTAGAGTGACAAAGAACACTGGAACATGGTGACAGACGGTGGGGATCTCAATGATGGCTGCAGTTGTGAGGAATGACACCTGCCGAGTTGCAGGCGTCAGCGCAGAAACGTCAAACTTGGCAAGCATCCCATTTGATAGGTTTGTCGGCCTCATGGAAAGCAAAGGGGGCATGCCAAGTTCAATACGATTCTCAAGTATAGTATCGCGATGAGCACATCAGCAAACCATGGATGCTTCCTGCACCTACTACCTTCTCTTCTCGCGCGTTCTGCGCAATCTACGCGCCATGTACTTCCTTTCTATATACATGAAGCATGCATCATAAAACAACTGTTGCCTGGCAAACTTGTTTGTTTGCCTTGTCTTTTTTCGCCTCTTCAGCAGCGGGACGTTGCAGCTCGCAACCGTCACTGATGCTCATAAATGCATGAATACTTGGCTAACGAAGCTCCTCAGTTCTTGGCTGGTGTCCACTGCCCCAAACCACCCCAGCGCTTTATATAGTGGGATTTGCAACTACTATATAGAAAGTGTAAAGGGTACATACCCCCTTTTCCCTTGCCGGATAGTGGACATCCTCTCAGATCAGTGTGACTGAGCTGAAAGAATAAGAGTTGGGAGAACAAATGCTCAGCTCAGCACTTCTATGCCCTCAAGGTCCAGTTGCTTGCCTTGCATTGAGAGAGGCCTTCAGAGAGCCCATCATATGACTGTACAGCAAAGAAACCAGATGTCCGCAGTTTCCATTGTAGCTCAACCTTGTTTTGTCATTTTGGCTAGAAGTGTTCCAGCGGTGTGTTGGCAATCCTTTTCATTCGAACGCGGCTGGGACGGTGGTGGATTTCCTATAGCACCGCATTCTCTCCAAGGTCGTCGAGGGGTTTTTCGCCGCACGCTCCGAGTCTCCGAGTCTCCAAGTCGCGAGTCTGCGAGTCTGCGAGTCCGAGTGGCCGGCAGGTAGGGGAGTACTTGTCCAAGCGCCATGACTTCAATTGCCAGGTGACGAAGGCGGGCCGTGGGCATTCTGACTGAATCGATGGTTTCCACCCGCGTTTCTGAGACAACCGCTGTACGGCCGCTAAGGGCGATGTACCCCGTGTTTTCTTTTGGGTAGTGTTTTGGGGGTAGAGGAGACTATCTTAGACTTCAGCGAATCCCCTCCAGGCAAACTGGGGGTTTAGTTCTGCGACAGTTGTTGGAGCTGTCTTCACTCACAGCGTTTGCCTGTATTACCGAAGTCAGCCAGGCACTCCGATACCTGTGGCTGCCACCAGATGGCATACACACCATTCTATCATGTATAGCCAACTCCTGGAAAAGAACACCCATCATGAGCATGGCAGAGCTGGCACTCCGGAGTCCATGTCTTAGGACAGCAGAATCTCGTTGCGGGAGAGTGCCAAGTCTGCAGATGTGACGCATTGCTATCGGTTGCTCACAGTTGCAGGATGTAGCCATGTCTTCGAAGCACGATTCCCCCCCGCCCTCGGCTGTGAACCTGTAGCAACATCCTTAAAGGTCAGCAACAATTATGGACATCAGATAACTGTTTGCCAGATCGCAAGAGCACTGCTTACCACTTTGCCCGCATACGGGTCCTTGTTAGATCTTGCCAGCCTCAATTTTTCCCCCCAAGATCGGAGCCTTGCGAGAATTGAACTGGAACTTCTCACTTTCCAGAAGGGCGTGGACCTGGACTTAGCTTTCCCTCCGCCTCGCCAGTCTTTCATGGACTCCTTCCCCTTCCCAGGCGAATTGGGCGGGTGGGAGAGGGTTCTTCCCATGGTCTCTATGATAGCTGCACCCTGCTTGATCGCGTATGGGCACGAGGAATGCCATTTTTCCCCAAACGTCAATACGCGTGCCCTCATATTGGGCTGGCACCCACTTGCGGCTCGGTCTTGAGGTGGCATGCGAGGGATTGTGATTTGACACAGATGCAGTGACCTGAAACATGAGACGGCTCCGCATGGTTTGCTTGGGGGCCCAAGCAAGTGACGATGCTTCCAAGGGCCTAACCATGTCTTCGACTTCCTGTTGGTTTCCTTGAAGAACATGTCCCCCCAAGGCTCTAGTTGTCACACCCCTTTTTTGGTTGCCAGGGCAAGTGCCATGTATCCGCACAAGGTTCTGCTCCAATTCGCGAAACCATAGCCAGAGTCCAACTCTCGGCTATATGGCTGTGGGTCAAAACCAATGGTACCATTTTGGGGTAGGTGCACCACCCATTTTAGTCTATTTTAGTGGGGATTGGGATGTTGACTGGGGGTAGGGGATTTTGACCCATGGCCATATTAGTGGCTTATGCCGTCAGCAGCGGTATCAAAGGCTCGGTGCATCCAGGGCGTCCAATCCACGCGGCGCGTTTCTCGCTAGGCCTGGGTATGGTTGAGGGTCTGCGGATGGCGCTGGCGACCTTCCGCCTGCCCGGAGAGGCCCGGGTTGTTTGGGGGTGCCCTGGCATCATTTACGTGGCGGTTTTGCCCAGGAGTCATGTGAACAACAGGCTAAACTCTCCGTTACTTCTTTATGCATTCGGGCGATTTAGCGTGAGGAACTCTATCAAAACCTTGTAGAACGATATATGGAACCCCCAAAAGCGATAAAACATGCTCTCATGATGTGGCAGACGATGCTTGGAGCGTCTCGCGTTTGGCAGCTTTTTTTTGTGGCCCTGAATCCCAGCCATCATGTCTGCGCCTCCTGACGCGCCCAGCATATTTGAGATCGGGCTCTGCGGCCACGCAATGCTGTTTGTTCAACTTTGGCAAAAACATACCTGCCCAAAACGATAGCCGAAACGATAACGACACGATAAGCAGTTCATTCGGAAAATCGTCTTCGTGAGCAGTTGCCCATAACACTAGACTCGTGCGCACAGTTTCGATGTCTCCGTGCTGCGTGCATTCGTAGTGCGCCATGAGTGATGAAGCGTTTGCGCAAGGAGGTTTTCAAGGACTCCGATCTGCCTGGAAGCAGTGCCATCTCAAAACTCACGCTTTCCCGTACGCATCTCCAACTGCCTCTTCAGAAGCTCGCTCGAAATCAAGTGCTTCACTTTAGAGAAACATTTCTGCTTTGCGTTTGTGCGTTTGCTTCGTTGTTTTTTGGTAAGCCTCGCGCAGGTAACAGCGCTATCAGACAGCGTGCTCCGTACCAGATCGTCGATCGCAAGTTGGAAGCAGAGCAACTACAGTGGAAGCGCGGCTTTTGGCAAGATCCCACATGGAGAAAACCAACAGTTGCTCTAAATCAAACGTATGAAACCATGAGGAGCACCATGCCCTGCACATGTTTCGCGGCACCTTGAAAAGCACTAAATCCTGACTTTCGACCAAATGGTCACTCGCGATGAAGCCCGCTTGGTCAAGGCAAATGCCCGGAGTAAGCGAAAACATGCAGCTGCTTTGTCTGCTGACCCAATGGAAGAGTCTGAAACAGAGCTGTGAAGCCAATGTGCCGTGACAATAAAACGCCAGTGCGCGCTCTCCATGTGCCAGAAACCTGCAAAACGATATAGGGAACCCCCAAAAACGATAAGAATGAGTCCTAAATCACTTCTGTGCGTTTAGGCTTTGCCGCTCGCTCATGTGAAAACCATTCCGAATTCCCAGTTTTGCATCTTGAGACCCAGGCCAAAATACAAGATGGGTTCTTAAGCAAAAAGTTCCCAAGACTCATGTTTTAAGCATGGAAGATGACCTTTGGCTTGAGAGGGCGTTCAGGCACTTTCGCAAGCCCAGGTTTTGGGACTGGATAGTCTAGAGTTGACTCAAGATGGATGGGGCGAGGCGGTTGTACTTCATGGAGGCGCTTTGGCGCCATCCAGCTGCTCGCAACAGTTTCTGCGGCAATTGTTTCCTGACGCCAGGCCCAGTGCATCGACCGGCTCATGGAGAGCTTTGCCCAGGCAGTTGGGTTGGGCATCGCGCAGTCCGAGCGCAAGTTCGGAGAGCATGCTCGCACGAGAGGCTGTTTTGGGGCTTCGCAAGGCTCAGCCTTGCAGATGCTTGACAGCAACAACTCCTCATCCTCAGCTGCACAAATGGACTGGCAACCTGCATCAATTTAGGTCAAAACCAAACATGTCTTTTGCAAGCTGCAGGCTTGTTGTCGACTTTGATCATGTTGAAGGCTAGGGGTGGAATTCGAGTCTGGGAGATTCCTCTGGCAAGAGCTTTCAAAGTATGCCGTTTTGGGTGCTCTCCATTATTCAAGCTGGTTTCCCCCAATATCAGAGTTGCTGACGCACAGTGCTACTGCACATGGCCAGCTGAGAACAAACGGACAAACCACCAACCTCCATCGTGTGTTTTACACACCGCACACCGCATGTCACATGTTGCTGGGACAAGAAAGACGGTGTCATAGTGTTCTTGCGCAGCTGGTTCTTGCAGATTGCATAATGCGGAAGCAGATGCAGCATCTCCAGATGGCAATACTCAAATACCAACGGCTGCTTTGCTTTAGGCGATCGTTTCAAAGTCATCCGAAAGGTGGGGCCGCGGCCCAGCTTTGCCGCACTCCCCCATGAGCAACGGCCAATATTCTGACACTTGATGTTGAGTACGCCACACGTCCCAAGGTATTTGGGCAGGTGCGCTCAGTGGAAAGCTGTGACCGTTGGCCGTTCATGTTGACGCGGCCGCATGCCGTTGCGCCAGGCATACTTTAGATCCCAGGTCCTTGCGGACGGTGCTGGGCTCAGCTGAAGCGGGGTTGTCTCAAAACGAGTAGAACCTCTCCAGTTGGGTTCCGTTTTGTTTTGCAATCAGAGCCAACAGGGAGGGGGGGTGGGGCAGGGCTTAATTTTTCAAGCGCACCAAGACATATAGGACCAAGCAGGCCCTTTCTGGACAGTCCTTCCAAGGTCATGCTACCTGGCCAAGATGTTGATGGTTGGGTCACACAAATATGAAGCTGACCAGCATCATTTTGCCAGTCTGTTTGACATTGCTTTGGAGCTAAGGCGAAGGTATGAAACAGGGTCTCGCACTCCATTGGTGGGCGTGGGCCAGGAGGGACATCATGGGACATCTAGGTTGTGACTTTCCTGCTCACATGCGTCTATGACACCATATGGCTGCGAGTCAATTTATAAGGTCCGGAACAGGGTCCGGAACCCACATGCGATCCAGACCTCCGTTCCAGACCTCCGTTCCAGACCTTGCCTAGAAACTTGATCCAGACCTTCCGTTCCAGACCTTGTTTATATATTTATGTCTAGTTTAGAGTATTGATTCAGACGGTCAGGTGATTTGGTAGGTTATTGACTCCCCCCTTGTTTTGCCAAATGCTACGCGTTTTTCGCAACCCCGCCGCAATCTGTTCGATACGACGCGATAGCGGTTCGATGCCGCTCTCGGTGGTCACATTGTTGAAACGACCATGTTTACATGCTGCTTGCTAGCACTCCCAAGTGCAACACTCGCGTAACCGTTCCAGATCCCGTTCCAGACCCGTTCCAGACGTGTTCCAGACGCAGCGGGGCAATTTGCCACCTCATGCAAGCACACACACACACATGCCCCATGTAAGCTGCGCTTCTTATGCGGCCCGCCGCGCCGCCCAAGAAGCCTTCAAGGAGGTGCCGTATCGTAAGGCCGCGCGTCGCTGGTCGCTTCATCCATCCATCTACCCATCCATTCAGCCATCCATCTATGCATCTTACACTAAATGAACGTGTGCGTGAGGACTCCACACATGTCTTCCCAGAGGTCCGGAACAACCAACCTTACGTAACTGACTCGTTCCAGACGTCCGCGTCACCGCGGAACGTTCCACACCAGAATATTGACCCACACCCATATGACAGCATACCATGTGTGCATGCCGTATTTCGCGGCTTCAGCTTCGGATCCCTGGAGATTCGGAAACCCCAGTCCCCGACAATTTTTCTATGTGTGCGTTACATTTTAGTCAAGGCTTTGAGGCTTTTGTGCTGGGAAAGAACGGTTTTTTTTGGCGGAGGTCAAAGCCCAGCAGTTTTGGCCCTGAGGCTACGGGGCAGCTGCTGGGGAGGACGCGGGCACTACACGGGGTCCAGGTCTGCGCTAGAAGTCATTTCCAAGCGCCTTTTGCGAGCTTTACAATGGTAGAGGTTGTGTAATACAGCTTGTTAAGCAGACTCAGATGATGCCAGTGGGAGCATGTCGAGTTTGGGCAATTCAAGTATTTTCCAGGGTCCGTGCAGCAACAATTGCTGGACGTGCACGCAGAAATGCCTCTCCATGCAACCTGTTTCTTTTGAAAGCTTGAGTAAAGTCAGCTGGATGTCAGGCCAATAGATGCTGGTGCTATGAGGTACCAGCTTGAGGTACTGCCAACACCTCCCAAACCTCAATTGAAGACTAGAAGGGGAGCCTCGCATGAGTCCGGGATGTTCCAAAGACTAGCCCACGTGGACCACTCCCCCAATTGACAGGATGCCTGCAAGCCGCAGAACCCCTTGTCGCAGCCGCGCATGGGGGCCCGGGCTGAAATGGCCGTGGCTGTCAGCTGGACCTGTGAGGGCTGCTTGTTGAGATTCTTTCCACAGACTGCTCAGAATGTGAGGTTGGATTCCCCGCGAGAGGTCGCCGGAGGAGGCGCGAGCTGGCTTCTCGTTCAGCCAGACGGCAATTGACTTCTCTGTGTAGCTCCCCCCAGAAGCTTGGTTGAGGTTGATGCGTTCGCAAACTGACCATGGAGTTTCCCTTCCAAATAAGAGGGCACGCTTGTGACGAGCGTTTCGCCTAGACCAGCCGCACATTCTTGCTGTCTTTGGTCAACCATTTCGTTCCAAACTTGCAGTCTTGCTTCCCACGATGCCGCCGACAAAAACGGCACCATGTGTTGCTGTTGCAAGGCTTCCTTCGGGCGACAAGCGCGACATGTCTCATGCCGAGTGTTGAAATGCTACCGCTTTTTGAATGACGAGTATTCATCTATGCCGCCATGTGTTTGCGCTTTTGCAGCGTCTCCCTTGAAGAGCACACGCAAAGATTTGGCGGCACAAATCTTGACTCGTCGCCGGGTTTTGACATTACGATTGTTGTTTGGCGCCGTTCGACACAGGTTGCCAATGTTGCATGTTTTTGTGCAGCGATGCTCAGCCTAGCAACCACCTTAAGCAAGCAACCATTTAACATGCGAGCAGGGATCAGAATCAGCAGACCGGATGTTGCTTTTGAGCTGAGCAGCAGTGCTGCAGTGCTTGACTGTTTGGAGCAAACATGAATCGCACTTTGAGTCACATGGTGACTGCAACGCGGTTTGCCTGCATGTTTTTGCCATAAGCGGGCAGACCTTGTCGAAGTCAAGGAGGCCTTTCGCTGGTTTCGAGATGGAGGCCAAGAAACATTCCATTGGATCGGCTCACATTTTTTCATTTGATACACCCACACCCCAAGTCGCTCTGAGTGCATGTTGTGAGGGCGATGAGGGGCAGTTTTCTGCCTCGGGCTAGGCCGAGCTCACTCGCCACGGCCCAGAGGATGCTGCTGAGGCAGGGCTATAAGCTGAGACAAGTTGGAGGCCTCGCCGGAAGAACTTTTTCTCTAAGCACGGCCCTTTGGTGGGTTCCACGTTGGACGGGGTAGTTTCAGGTTAGTGTCCTTTCTACACTCCAAGGGCCCCTTCGAGGCATTGTCTGGGGTCGGGCTCCGCAGGAGCCGAGCCGGGTTTTGATGGCGTGGCGCCCAAGAAACGGCAACGCAGGAAGGAGTGGAGGGTCCCAAGAGGTGGAGCAGTGAAGGGAAGCATGCTTTACATCTCTTGGTATGATTCACTGCTTGAATTCCTGATCACGGTGTTTATGGTGTGCTTACCGTATGTTCATTTTGCCCGCGTTGCGCGTGTGGCGATCGATTGTGTCCGCCCAGAATACCTCTGACACCATCTTCATCCTGGCCTTCTCCATCATCATGCTCAACACGGATCTGCGTGTGTCCCAGAGTCGCGCGGAAGAAGGGGGCGCAGTCCATAGGCGCCTGCCAAGGGCCAAATTTCAGCTGACATTTGCACCTAGAATTTGCTATTGCATGGTTGCTAGCTCTGTCTCAATTTCCCTTATTTTTCATGGGATTGCCCATGGGCCGGATATTGACGAAGTCACGTTCCCGCTTCCTTTGCTGGCAGTTTACATCCCATTCGTCTCGTAGGCATTTTTTTCAAGCATGGCGTGAGAGCTGCTGCAAGGCACAACCCGGGCGTGAAGAAGAAGATGTGCCTGGAAGAATTTGTGCGCAGGAAGCCTCAGAGTGATTTGGGGTCCCTCCAGGAACTCTTCCGACCTGGGAAGTCTTCAAGGACCCACGGCAATTGGATACAACACCAGACATTTATGGCGCGTCGAGAAGGCAGTTGCCTCTGGCGAAGCAAACCATTGAGATACCTCACTGCTCGTGGCCACTTCAGACCCCATGTTGCTTGGCTGATGTTCCGCCTTGGCAAAGAGTTCCTGTAGTCTCAGTGGCACTTGTTTTGGCGATGGACAACTCTGGGCGTCACGGCTGGCTATTGAGACTATTGCGCCTGGGATAGGTTCTGTGGTGCGGGGAGGAGTGTTGGACGCTTTCTTCGGCTTCTTCAAGCTTTGCTTCGGGCTTGACATGAGGCTCACGCTCTGACTGAGTCTTGTTGTTTGCTTGAGGCAACAACCGGGGCATCGATGGTGGCAAGGACATAAGTTCATGGCAGCGCATGTGGTCAAGAGGTACAGTGCAGCCGACATGTGTGTCCATAAATCCAATTAAAAGGAGCTACCGTTTGGTCATTAATGGGGTCATAGTCATTGCTATCGGGCATGGCTCAGTGATGATGTCCAACATGACAAGCTGTGATAGGCAGCATTTCATGCTGAACCATGGTTCCCAGATATTCTTTCTGACCAATCCATTTGCCAAGCTGTGCCTTTTTCAAAGCCTGGCTCAACACCCCAGGAGTTTACTCAATAATGCCGAAACGGGATATCGCAAGAGCTATCTGCGCCCGTCGGATTTCTCGCGCGCAGGACCTGCCCCAGTACTTCTTGCGGGACATCTACGAGGTGTTTTTTTTTCTTTTCGGGGGGGCTTTCGACCAGCCGGAGCCGCAACGAGACGAAGCCCAACCTGAGCAGACAGCGAATCACTTTCTCCCATCCCCCACTAGTAATTGTTTGCCGACCCCCATCAGTGTGTCATTTTGCAGCGTGTGACTGGCGATCCCTTCTCACTGAGTTGGAAATGAAGCCATGGGCACAACATCCGCAGGCAAAGGCCTTGAGGCACCGTGCTTGGATGCAAAGAAGCGTCCCCATCAATTCGGAAGCGCTAGGAACCGGGCATTTGATTCCGTTTGCTAAAGTTTATGTTATAATTTTGTCCCACTGGATTTTAAAGGGACATGGGGAATGACTGGTAAATCTCATGTTGAGTTGCACCTTCAGCAAAATGGGCACTCTCCCTGTCCACACACACATGGAATCCACCAAAGGGTCACTTTGAACGGAAAGTAGTCTTCAGACCACCTCAGACAGGTTCCATGATAGTGGACGGGAGGATGTGTGGCTGTGGGTCAAAAAATAGGTACCCAAATTGAAACCCTGACAAGTGGAAACATAGACTAAAACCTGCGGTCCATTGGTGGTTTAGTTTTGACGCATACCCATGTGTATAAATAGTGCACGGGTTAGCTCTCAGTCCGTTTCCGCAGTCCATCCGCGACGATGAGATCCGGCTGCACGGGGAGACGGCCAGCGAGGCGGGACCGCGGTAAACTACTGGTTGGCGGCTTCAAAAACCGCAGGAGGCGAGCCAGGTGTGTGTCTCTTTTGCAGGGTAGACCATGTTGGTTGGTTTAAAAGGGGCATCAAAGTCACAGCCACTGATGCAAAGCAGGATATTTGGCATCATGGCGGCGAGAGAATCAGCACAGCTTTTCGAAGGTAAGTCAAAGCTGAGTGTTTCGTGCGTTGGCGTTGCTCCATGGTATGTGCCCATTGATGGCTACATCAGTCCTTACAGTGTTAGTTACCCTTCTGTGAGATTGCATGGTTCAGGGTGTGGATTTCGCCATTTCACTCAGAGGAAATGCCACGATTCGTATCTGAAGCGATCGCAGTCGGACGAAGTCATCGACGACTTCTTCTGGGAAGGCCGGCCTGGGATGGGAAAATGACACCGGGCAGGCCGAGCGACAACTAGCACACAGTCAAAACCAATCATTTGTCTGTGTGAGGGGGGTGGTTCAAAATTACGACTTTGCCTTAGCTCTCAAATTCAGGTGCCTTGGATTACTGGATCCATGTTTGATCTTTTTGTTTCGCGATTTTGAGTGGTGCGGCCCAAGAGAAGTCGAGATCGACATGCCAGAATTCAGGGCATCTCGCTGCATTCTAGATTGGTCCTCCCATCAAATGCTGTTGCGAGACAGGCCTAGCCCTTTGCTCAAGAAGTATACCCGTTGGATTCGCTTCGTGGGGTATCTTCCTGGCCTACCGCCAGCGGAGCGGAAACCGCCGTGACCCCTTTGTAGCCTCACAAATGGCTGGACATGAATCCCATGAGAATGGTAGTCAACGAGACCCTACTGAAAAAATCATCTCCATGGCTTTGTGAGGGCAACTCTTTGACTCGGTGAGCTTGTTTTCTGAGAGGCATCCTGCTGCGCAGTGAGAGCATCGATGCCTTTAGCGCCACCGAGCGGTTGCTCTCAGAGGAGGGGTTGGCTGAGAATTGGTCGGGCTTGCTGGTTGCCAGTTCAGTTTCTTCACCCAGCGTTTCCATATGGCTGTGGGTCAACACCAATGGTACCATTTTGGGGTAGGTGCACCACCCATTTTAGTCTATTTTTGTGGGGATTGTTCACGGGACTTTCGGGCTTTTGACCCATGGCTCATGGCCATACATTTTGCGTTGGTTCGTTGGGTTTCTTCGTTAGTTCTGGTTCTTTGGTTCGTTGCTGCGGTGGCAATGCTTGGTCCGTGGTTTTGTTTGTGAATTTGTTTAAGGGACAGCTGCAGAGCTCTGCAGGCCATGCATCGGTCCATCCATCGATTCATCCATCCACCCACCCACCCACTCATCCACCCATCCATCCATCCATCCATCCATCCATCCATCCATCCATCCATCCATCCATCCAACCAACCAATGTGCGTATATACTCACGTCCGCAGAGAGGTGCTGGAAGAAACAGCAAGATCGGCACCAGTTTGGTACCTGCCCCCCCCACCCCCCCCACCCCCGCCACCACCGCGCGCAACTCCAGGCCGCCCCTGGCACTACCGAGCGGGACATGCTGCAGGCGCTTCAGACGCTTTGCCGAACCGAAGCCGAAGCCCCGCCGAAGCCCGGCCTTTGGGCCCCAAAGGCGACGTCCAATGCTTACTTCAGGCGGCTCCTTTCTGGATTGATCAAAGAGACCCACTGCACTGGGTCGAGCCACATTCTTTGAGGAGTTGGTAAACTGGGAGTGAATGATGCGAACAGTTGCATCGCTTGAAGAGCCATTGGCAAACGTCGGCCCACCCGCCCTGGAATACCATTCTGGCAGGGACCCTGATTGAATGCAACTGAGTGAGAGGAACATGCAGGAGCTGATTACAGATCTCAATATGATTTGGCTGGGAAAGGAGGCGATCGTGCATGCGTAAAGCAGGCTTTGCAGGCACAAGTCAGATGTAGTAAGAGGGCGTAATGGCATCAGTTTGCCTTTTGCTGCAGGTGGTCCTGGATTGCCAGCCATTGCCAGTGCTCACGCAGTGCTATGAGAAGGGGCCCGAGCTGGCAATGGTGCACTTGGTGCGTGCATGCGAGGGTGGGGTCGGGTGGGGTCGGGTGGGGTGGGGTGGGGTCGGGTGGGGTGGTGTGGGGTGGGGCAAGTTTTGCGTGGGGTGTGGGAGAGTAAGTCCATCAACGACGTCGATGAAACATCAAGCTAGATAGCATACCAGAAGCGTTCATGTAGGCAAGTGGGCTTGGTTGCAGAGCAGCTTGCCTGCATCTCAATATGGTTTGCTGTGCAACTTACGACTTTGACTTCCTGGGAACATGCAACATCCCGCACCATGTAACTGCTCACCTCCCCTCTTGTTCTACACCCTTTGTATCCCACCCCCTTGAGGGAGGGGGGTTGAAGACTAGATAAATGGAATTGGGGACCCCCCCAACCCCCCTCCCCCTTATGGTAGGGGGGATAGCGTGGCGCCACGGCGCGGGCACCGGCCTGAGGTCAGTGCCGGATGCGACGGTGGCCATGCAGGCGATGACTGGCTTCCAGGAGCGGTTGGCGGTTTGGGAGGGTTTAGGGCGGCCTGAGGTTTAGGGGGTTTCGGAGGGTCTAGGCGGGTTTACAAAGGTTTAGAGGGAAGGGGGGTCATCCGTGCAACCGGACGTCACTTGATTCTTACCCGCAGAATTTGAGTCATTTGCGCGGGCGCGGATGACGGGCGCAGATAAGCCCGGAAATGTCGGAATATTAGGACGGTAGCAGCTATCTTGTGCCGTTTCAGAGTTGGAAAGGGAGAGGGAGACTTCATTTGCAAGGTCTTGAGCGACGTTCCAGATTTCAACAAGCGAGCAGTTTCAGTTCAACGGACATGTCCTGCGATGCGTCAAAAAGACACGCTGGCCTGAGCAAGACACTGCGCTGGTTGGGGGCGATGATGCTGGGCTGTGCGGAAAGGGGGCTGCGGGTCGCTTTTGTCGAGCAATGTTGCTCCATGTGTATCCTCAGCCAGTGATGAAGCAGAGGCTGTGAAAGCTTTCACATGTTTGCCATGGGTTGGCGTGCTAGTGTTCAACTTCGGACGCAGGCATTGGGGCATTCTCGCAATGATGCTATTGCGCCTTCGAATAGATTGGCATGGGCTATTTGCGGATCTGTTGGGCCGGCCATGATGGTGCGTGCTCTTATCATTCCAATTCATCACTGTGCGCTTTGATTCGTGTTCCTTGGATCAGGATTGTTTCCTCACGCTCTTCCCCCCAAACCCCTCCATTGTACAGCTGCGGTTCGTGTTCCCTGGTGGGCGTGCTCTTACCCCCTCCGACCGCTCATGCATTTTGGTCCCTTGATCGTTCCCTTGCGCACGTTTTCTTATCATACCCCCCCTCCACAACCCCATCCCACAGCCGTGCGTGTGTGCATGGGTTTGATGCGTGTTTCCTGGTGTGCGTGCTCTTATCATTCCAACCCATCACTGTGCGCTTTGATTATTGTTCCTTGAATCACTTGTTTCCTTCTGCGCTTTTCTGCAAACCCCTCCATCGTACAGCTGTGGGTGCGTGCGGGCTTAATGCATATTCCCTGGTGTGCGTGCTCTTACCCCTCCTACCGCTCGTGCATTTTGGTGGGCGTTCCCTTGATCCAACCCCATCCTGCAGCCGTGCGTGTGTGCATGGGTTTGATGCGAGTTTCCTGGTGTGCGTGCTTATACCATTCCAACCCATCATTGTGCGCTGTGATGCGTGTTCCTTGGATCAGAGTTGTTTCCTTGCGCCAATGTCACGCAAATTGCGTGGGCGCGGAGATTCTGAATCAGAATCTGTCCCCTAAACCTGTGGGCGCGAATGCCCCCAAAATGTGTGACTCCCTTCCGGTTTAGAGGGTTTACTGAACTCGGGTTGAGTTGGATATGATTGAGACGTTTTTTTCATGTTTGTCCACCTCATGTTGTGGAAGAAATCGGTCCGCAATTCATATCAACAGCCGGTTGGTATCCGGCCTGTGCCAGTTTGTGTGCGACGACGGGATTGGATGGGGCCTTTCAAACGAGTTGTTCTTTGAAATGTTGAGCGAAGGGACATGCTGTTGACCACTGAGTGGCTTACCCTTCACAGGAGCTTCAAGGGGATTACCAAGCAATTCGACGTCGCCCCCTTTTTGCACTGGCACGAGTGTTGTTTGTTGAAAGCATTTTCCGATCTGCCAGCTTTATCGTTTGGCGCAGGATCTGGCTCGGATCAGTGCCTACTTTGACAACTTTGAAACTGTCAGCAGCCTCGTGGGAAGCCCAATAGTTTGCGAATGTCAGGTCAGTCCAAGCGAGTTTCGTGTTTGAAACTAACGTGGACCAGCCTTAAGACAAGCCTGAGCCAGCCAAATTCAACCTGCAACTCATCTACTCAACCCAATGCCAACCCGAGCAAGCTTACCTTGACAGTTAACCCCTCCTCCCGTGCTAAGTTGTGGAATGGCAGCCATAAGAACCTGGGGCTGGGTGACCGGCTCACGTGAGGGGGGTCGGTCGGTCCGCTGCACGTGTGTGGAGTAACATGGGGCTCCTGCCGGCTTATTGCGCCAGATGCTGCGGTTGTTGGCCCCCCCTTTTTCCCAGCCTTGAGCGGAAAGCAAGTGTGCATGAGTATCACACTTCTGTATGGAAGCCGACTATTGCGACATGTCAATGTGATAGCCAGACACACATGTTGAATCTCCAACTGAACAATGGCTTTCCGTTTGACAGGCAAGCAGCAATCAACAGTCAGTTATTTAATCACACTTGCAGTCGGAAAGATCTTCTTCCAGCTATGATCAATCAGCCAGGGGTCGGAAACCAGGTTAACTTGCCTTGGTAAGCGTTTTCCCTTCTTTCCCCCTTGAGCATACTCATCATGCATGCTTTTGACATTCATGCCACACGAGGGCTTTTCTTTTTGACACAAGCAGCCTTTTTCGCTTATGGGCTGTGTTGTTCCTTCGCTTCAGCTAGCGGCAAACCAGAGGCACCTGTTCTTGAGTGGTTTGTTTCTCCTGCAGAAATAAGGTGCGCACCATCTTCCAGTACTGCTCTAGCGCAGCTGTAGGCTGGTGCCGATCTGCGCACCAAAGGGGATATCCGGACGAGTTGTAATTCCAGACGAGCTGCTCCTTTTGATGGAACCCAACCTTTTGGAGTCGTGGCTTTGATACACTTCTCTCACCAAGCCTTCAGTCCCTGAGTTTCGGAGATCGTCACTGGGGCCGGCAGGTGCCGTCACGGTGCGCTGCCAGATCGCGCTGGGCTCGTCGGAGCAGTGCGCTGGGACCCTTGGGATGGGAAGGCGATGTGGGAAAGTCGGCAAGTGGACTGCAAGTCGGCAGTTGGAGACGAAGGCGACATGGAGCCAAGCGTTTGCCGAATCGTCGCATGCTCGCATGCCTGATGGCCCTGGCCCGGATCCGAGGTGAGCCACTTCGCGTCCATGTTTCGCGAGGCGGGGAGATGCCAACGATAGGAGTCTCTAGGCTTTGGTGGGATAGAAAGCACGTTTGCACCTGCTTGAATCCCAAAGTCGTTTGAATCCAAGAGGTGTGCCCTTGGTCTTAGCCGCACATCAGAACCTTGAAAGTGACCGTCTGAGGCTTGGTTTACCACACCCAAGCCCCAAACCACTCCGCCTTGGCGGCCAGGCAGAGTGGCGGGGCGTTCTGGAGGTGCTACTGCAGCTGTGCGGCGCCCAAGGAGCCGTGAGAGAGCTGGGACTCTTGTTTGGTGTATGTTGATACCCAACCCAACCATGTCATAAAATGAATCTTACGCCGCCGATTGCTAGTGACTGCAAGGGATCCAACTGGGCTTGCACAGAGCTCAACATCACAATTGGAGAGGCTCCAAGCGCTTTCGGAGGTACCTTGTGTGGCAAGCTAGCCGTTGATAGGTTTAACACTCTCTGCGGCTCTTCGATGTTTCTGTGTCAAGCGGCAGCCGCGCATTTTTGGCTCATCTCCACAGGACAGACGTAGGTGGAAGTGGGCAACGTGAGCTCAGGGCCCCCCCACACACTTGCTTGAAGGACTGACAATGTTTGAGACATATAAAGGTTTGTCATAAAATGAAGAGTCCGCTTGAGATGCCTTGCTTGTGTCCCTGAAAGATCAATGCAGCGTTGTGCTTGAGGCTCGATTGGACTTTCAAGCCATGGGGCTTGTTTTGCTTCCAAACTGCGACTAGCTATGACGTAGTCGATCAATCTTCGCATGTTGGGACCTCGTTTGGCGAATCAGCTCTCTGAAGTATTACATACTGGCCAAAAATGGGCATCGTGTTCGACCTCTGCAATTGACTCAGGCGTTTGCAAGATGTGGGTGAGACGCCCAAAACGGGACCTTTCCTTTTCTGGCTGGTGCTCAGCAGGGAATGAGGGAATGAACCTAGGGTTCCCGAATAAAGGAAACCATAGGAACCGGATGGTTTATAGGGTCATTCCATTTCTCCTTCCCTGCCTATCGCACCAGCAAGTGTTGGTTTCCCTTTAAAACCAACAAGGACATGTTTGCCGAGGTGGGCTTTGGACCTGCTGTCGGGTTGCCAAGTCGGCTCAAGTCGAGGCTGATGGTTGGATTTTGGGCGCAGGCGGGAGTCTGATCGCTTTTTGAGTGTCCATCGGTTTGCCATAGATCAGGCTTTGTTTTCTTCTGGTGGCTAATCGACGTTCAAACAACCCCCCCCCGCGAGTGATCTGCTTACACCGCTGAGCAAGTCGCCTGGCTCAATTTAGTGTTGCCTTGTGTTGTAGCCTATGGCGCTTGCTTTGCACCGATGTCTGAAGCCTTGGCCCCGTTATTATATTGACCAATGTCTTCTTGGTGGTTCCCAGCCATCTCCTTAGCTTTTTAGTTTTTTAAGTGTGGATTTCCCTTTTTAGCCGATTAAAAGTTAAACTCTTAGCGGGGGATTGATGTATCTGAGGACAGCCCAGTCTTGATGTATTCCAAGAGCTTCACTCAGTGCTTCACCAGGCGCTCTGCTCGATCGATTCGCCCGGGCTGAGGCCACCGCACTTCTCCGAGTTCGACGACTTCTCGGGCACCGACGGCAAGCCCCTGGAGAGCCTCTGCAACATCAGGCGAGGGCCGCTACGAAGAGGGGATGACTGAGTTCCTTGCAAGGAAAGCGCATGAGGGCTGGCGCAAGAAGTCTGACCATGTCACAAGTGGCTTCCAGACAATTCGGCTTGTGTTCTCAAGTGGACGGTTTTTCACAACACTGGAAGCGCAGAGTTTCCAAAAGACATCACTGCACACCGTGATTGTGTTTATCAAGATGCGATGCATGACACTGAGAAAAGGCCGGCACCACTTCGCGAGTGGATGCAATGATTCATGTACAATGCGCGCTGCTTTCGTGATGGCATCAACGTGTTTTGCGCGGTCGATTTTTCTTTGCGCATTGTTGCGAGGGTTGCGGCACAAAGCTTCTCAGCTAGGTGTGTGTGTGTGTGTGCGTGTGTTTGCTTGCTTGTTTGTTCGTTTGTTGGTTTGTTTGTTTGCTTGTTTGTTTGTTTGTTTGTTTGTTTGATTGTTTGTGTGTTTGTGTGTTTGTCTGTGTGTGTTGGTTTGTTTTTTGTTTGTTTGTTTGTTTGTTTGATTGTTTGTCCGTTTGTTTGGTTATTTCTTTATTTGTGTGTTTGTTTGTGTTTGTGTGTGTGTGTGTGTGTTTGATTGTGTGTTTGTTTGTTCGTACGTTTCCTTGCTTGCTTGCTTGCTTGTTTGTTCGTTTGTTTGTATGTTTGTTTGTTTGGTTTGCCTGCTTGTTAGTTTGTTAGTTTGTTAGTTAGTTTGTAAGTTTGTGAGTGTGTGAGTTAGTTAGTTAGTTAGTTAGTTTGTTTGTTTGTTTGTTTGTTTGTTTGTTTGTGTTTGTGTGTTTGTGTGTTTGTGTGTTTGTGTGTGTGTGTGTGTTTGATTGTGTGTTTGTTTGTTCGTACGTTTTCTTGCTTGCTTGCTTGTTTGTTTGTTCGTTTGTTTGTATGTTTGTTTGGTTTGCTTGCTTGCTTGTTAGTTTTCTAGTTTGTTAGTTAGTTTGTGAGTTTGTGAGTGTGTGAGTTAGTCAGTTAGTTAGTTTGTTTGTTTGTTTGTTTGTTTGTGTGTGTGTGTGTTTGTTTGTATGTTTGTTTGTTTGTTTGTTTGTTTTTTTGTTGCCGCCACAGGGCGCCTGGTCGTTTCGCGGCGTTTCAGCTGTTTTTCTGTTGTTCCACGCCGCGGTGGCGGGAGGGGGGGGGGTGGGTGGAGGGGGAGGGGGGGGTGGGGGGGGTGTGGGGGGGGTGTGGGGGGGTGTGGGTGGGGGGGGGTTATAATAAGCACACGCGTTCACTGCGCCGCATGAGAATAAATTCATGCATCTCAGCCTCATGTCGGTCTTTTTGTCGTGTTGTCAAAGAGGTTTCCGGTTGCATCAATGTACAATCCTCGTGCGGTGTCTCTTTGCTTGTCTTTGGTGTTGCTTTTGCACATTGCCCAAGTACCGCCGCTCACCGGCTCTATTGTCTGCTTGGCGCGCGTACCCTTCTTCCTTGATCAGCACATTGATGTCTTTGCTGCTGTTTCGGCGTTATCCAGTTTGGTATTTTGTGATTGCTGCTTCGATGCCTGACCGTTCTCCAATTGACTTTCGTGCGCTGTGTGATCAGCACGTGTGGACTTTGTGGGTCTCTTGTGTCTCGCGTGTACTGGGGCTCCGCCAGCCGTTTTCTCTGAAAAGCATTAGTCTTAGGGGAATTCTGAGAACCACCTGTTTTAATTAAAAAAAGCTGAAATCATTGGCAGGCGCATTGAAATCAAGAAGGGTGAGCCTTGAAAACCACCAGGCGCCTCATGGCGTGATGACCTGTTTGTTTGTTTGTTTGTTACTTTCTTAATTAGTTTGTGAGTTTGTGAGTTTGTGAGTTTGTTTGTGAGTTTGTGAGTTTGTGAGTTTGTTTGTTTGTTTGTTTGTTTGTTTGTTTGTTTGTTTGTTTGCTTGTGTGTTTGTGTGCGCGGCAAGCGCGTGCTCGCATAGAATGTGCTCGTAAACTGCATGATTTGTTTATTGCAGAGGATTTTGAGGGGATGCTGTTCAAAAGTCCCAGTAATGCTTCCCATCTTGACTCGCGAGCCAAATGTTTATAGGGAGCTTCAAGAGTGAGTGGTGGACACGAATCCCCCATCCACCAAAAGGCACCCTATCAAAATTTCCGCCTTGCGAGAAGCTTTTGCCAGGCCGCTGTACCCGCCGCCAGAGGCGCGCGCAGTTTCTGCCGGGCAGCCGAGCGCAAGTGCCAGCGGGATTGGCAGGCTACATGAAGGTTAGTGAGGGACAGTCCCAGCCAGAAAGAGCTTCGGCCGCCTTTGTATTTCCTTACATGGGTCTGGGTCAACAACAGGCGGTCCTGAAAAAATAAAAACAAATAGGTGTATACACTTCGAAATGGATTTGGCTCTCCTTGCTCCTTTCAGCAAATTTCTTTCTAAGTCGGTGTCTCCTGCAAAGGCCACATGCTTAAAGATGCCATGCTTTCACGAAAAGGCACGTTTTTCAGGAGCGGCGGCACTTCATTTGCAATACTGTTCGATACTGTCTGCAGGAAGCCTGAGGAGTCAATCCTGGTCGACCCTCTAACAATAGCAATTTGAGACGCCCGTCGCAAACAAGCATTTTTGAGAGTCATGCTCATGACCCCAAGTATGAGCTTTGACCGCACCACATGTCTCGATCCTTCTGAGGCCGAGACACAGGTGCTGGCCTCTCCACAGGCGGGGCCTACAGGGAAAAGTGAAGGTGCCGGCTTTGCTCGTAACAAAAGTGTCAGGTGGATCTGACGAGGTCAGTTCGGAGATTGGGTTTTGGCAGATTTCAAGGCCACGTGCATATCAGTTGCCGCCACCATGAGATTCTTCCATGCCGGCACCCATGGTTTTGGAGATGGGCAAGACCCAGGTCCGATACAGTAGGGCCCAGACTCGCGAGGCGGCCATGACGTCATGGTATCCATGTGACGTCAACATGACAACTTTGAAAGATGTTTACCAGCCGCTGGTGTACTTTTCTGTGCCAGTCAGGTCACAACGGCAGATGCTGGAGACGGCTTCCTGGAAAGCCACTTGGTTGATTGTGGCTGCCCGGAGCACCAGCTCTCATCAAATATGCCAAGTGAGGATCAAGCGGGCCATGCCTTTGCTGATGCTTACATGCGTCCCCTGCGGAGTTTGCCGCTAGAGTCAGGGGCTTCCACAACTTCAACTCACTTTCTAGCAAACCCTCACAAGGGCACTTTCTTTGCTCGGCAGCTTCCGCAACTTGAACTCCAATTTCTAGGAGAACCTCCCAAAATCAAGAACATCGTTAGAGGAGTTCCGCATGGCTTGAACTCATGAACAGATGCAGCTATCGAAGGTGTCTCCCTTCTGCACCACGCTTCCAAGACAGAACATACGACCTTGCCATGGTTCGCAAGGGGCGGGAAGGCGACGCTCCCTTGTGCTCTACCAACTCGGTAATGCTTGCCTTGTTGCCATCCTGTGCCGACGCGTCCATTTCACAGGATTTACCGGTTGCTAGCCTCTCTTTCCGAGGTTTGGCGCGCTGGTTCGAGGATGAGACACGCGATGAAGATGAGGAGGAGGCAAGGGTCGAAGCTTGCTGTCCTTTTGAGCTCTGGACGATCCTGTGGTTGGAGGATGATCATCAAGAGTCTTTGACAAACGACAAACTGTAAAATGTTGGCCCAAGTGTGGGTTGTGAATGTTTTCATTCATACTCCAGGAGCAGTGCATGTCCTTTTGCAGGCCCCATGACATTCACACGACTACCGCATCCTCAGCATGATAAGACAAGTCAGGAACTCTAACTCTTGCGCTGACGCATCCAGCATTTCCGCTGCCAGGGAGAAAGCCGGGGGCTTGGTATTGAACGACATTGGCCTGGACAGAATCAGTGGTTGTTTCCTAAAATCAAGAACCTACCTTTTGCTGGTGCTCAGTGGGGGATGACCCAAAATTGTGGGAATGAACCTAGGGAAGCCCTTAGCTTAAGGGAGACCATAGGGGATGGTTTATAGGGGTTATTCCCTCATTTCCTGCTGAGCACCAGCAAGTTTGGTAGTTTCACGGGGGAAACACTACACCCACGAGTCCAAGGGGGCGCGTTTCACCGGAGGCCGACCGCAGGACGACCTGCTGGGCACTTCCCTCCCTCCAGGCGGATGTGGAAAAAAACGCGTGCCAAGTAGGTGAGGCCAAACGCGCTGGCTCGTGGAAAGTGTATGTTGAATGTTCCGTTTGCCAAGTGTGGGCCAGCGCCCCGTTAAATGTGGGGTGCCATCAGCGATGGGCTGCCCTTGTCAATTGCTTTATAAGAGGCAGGATACTATGAGCAGCTGCAATCTACTCCGCCCTAACTATTGACCCGGCCTTTTTTTGTCGGAGGCGCTGCCAAGCAGGAGGTCGAGGCGAAGGCCCCGGGGGGTGGGGTTCGGGAGGCAGAAAACATGTGAGGGTGAATGTAGAGAGGCCGAGCCTCGGTTTACCAAGCCAAGCCTGAACATTTGAAGCAAATGGCAGGCAGTTCATGGGCTAGCTGTTGATACCAACCACTTCGACTCGATAGGCCTTGCCGGTGGATGCCTCTGACCCGGGGCTGATTCACCAGAAGGCGCGTGTTTGGATCTCGCAGTTCCGACGCAACTCACGTTGTGCGATGGCTGCAGTTTCAGAGTTTCAGAGCAAGCGCTGCATGTGTTTGCCTGGTGGAAATCATAGCGTCGCGTACTTTGGCCTTTTGCTCGGTCCCGTCAAACCTGCATTTGCACCAAGTATTGGACTTGAAACCAGAGGCATCGCAGGATGAGTCATGGCCAAAGTGAGCTCAACTCAAAGATTTTTCGTCAATTTTGACCCGCCTTAAACATGTCAGGAGACTTCTGCACCCCAGGTGTCTTTTGGCATGGGTCAGCCGATTTGGCAGGTGAAGCAGTATGTGGGGCGCTCGGGCTTCGTAGAGCCGGGGCCCCAGGGAACTGAAGGGAGTTGGAATAGGTTCGTCTCGGAAAGCGGTGAGCACTCGGACATAGTGCAGAAACACTCGGTGAATTGCACACTTCGAACCATGTAGAAGGCCACAAGTGGACAGAACTCCTTGTTCTAGCTCTCAATTCTCCGACACCTTCCCGGTTTTTGGGTGGATGGGGGGGGGCCGGGGGGGGGTTACGGGGGGGCGGGGGGGGGCTGGGGGTGGGGGATGGTTGACGTTCGCTAGGGTCCTGGGTGCCGCCGGGGTGGGCAAGCTGCCGCCGGAGAGCCTTCAGTGCCTGGCGAAGGCCGGATGGGAGCGGCTGGGGGGCGCTTTTCTCATTTGGGCGCGCATCCATTTGCTGGAGTTGTTTTTTGTTTGTGTTCTTTTGCGGTGTTCTTCTCGGTTTGGTTTGAAGGTGGAAGGAAAAGAGGAGGGCAAAAGGCACATGTTTGGAGGGCACATTTCGTCTTTAGTTAGGTTGATTCAAAGGGAAACGGGAAGACACAGGTCCTGCCATATTTTGGCAACTTATTTGCTTGCGTCCTTTTCTGAGTAGCCTTTTGGGGTGAGAATGCAAGGGGACCTCATTGTCCCATTTTGATTTCTGGGTGCCCTCATTTGGGACGCACCTATTTCAGCTTCGTAGAAGATGGAGCCCGAAGGGCGGAAAAAAACGTTGGGGATACGTCGGGGGTGGGTTCGTTGGTGCTTGTTTTGGTCACACTGCCATCAGCGGCTCGGAGCAAAACGCAGATTTGCGTGCCTCGGAGCGTTTTTTTTTTGGTGTGTGTGTGTGTGGGTGTGGGTTTGTGCATGGAAGCACAGTGTTTGGCCCTTGTTCTTTTGGTGCGCCTATGTCGCATTAGTCTACCCTCCTCTCTGGTGGAGATGGTCGACGCTTGCATGAGCTTTTGAGTGCTTCTTCTTCAAATGATGATGTCCTGGCCATGGTACGTGTTGCTTTAGGAAAGCAAGTGCTTTAGCTTGCGCCTATATGACCCTGGGCCCGTGGTTAAAACGCTCCGGTGGCATGACCTTGTTTTAGGTTTGCCCGCTGTGGAATGCTGTGTGTGCTTTAAATTGCTTGGGGGGGAACAAGGTGACAAGGAGAAGGCGTGGCATGGCTGAAGTGGAGACTTGAGCGGACGCAATTGCAACGGCCTAGGCTTTGGCGAGCCAGGTAGCAGGTTGAGACATCCGAAGGCCGCAGGCTGAAATAAGCTTCCCGAAGACTAACATTGGCTTCCGGTAGGCCAACATAAGTTCTCTGCAGACTGAGCTAGTTGGTCTGGTAGACTAAAATTACGTCTCTGCAAAACTGAATAGCAACCGGTATAGGCCAAACTAAGGCCAAACTCTGCGGTTTCTGCAGACACGAAACAGCATTTTGTAAGCTCAGCTTCGCTTTACGCAAGCCAACGGCAGCTTCCCATTTTGCCGCCGCTTGCCAAAGCGTTTGGGAAACAAACGCTCGAGAGATGAAGCGAACTGCAGGCGCTGGTCCAGCTTTCGCGGCCAAAGAACTGGTTTGTGCAGGCGGGTCGTGCGGCAAATTGGATATGCCCTTTTTTGGGTGGTCTGAACTACATTACGTTTTGGTTGCCAGCAGAGTGTCCCTACGGTGGGTGATGCTTTAGGATGACAATAATTCAGGAGCAGAATTGAGGCGCCCCATTACAGGCTGCTTTGGATCCCTGCCAGGCCCCACCACCATCGCAGGAGGCGCTGAGCTGGGGTGGAGAGGATCAATCTCAAGTATTCACCCTGCTGGCGTGAAGTGAAACCAGAAGCAGCTACCAGGGCTGAGCGCATTGACAGGACTGGCATGAAGTGGCAGACCCGGTCTTCTGCCTGGAGCCTTGGAGCCTTGGAGCCTTGGAGCCTTGGAGCCTTGGAGCCTTGGAGCCTTGGAGCCTTGGAGCCTTGGAGCCTTGGAGCCTTGGAGCCTTGGAATGGGTGCTCAGCCAAGCTCTAGCTAGCGGGATGCCTCGGGACCAGGTCGGGTCGAAACCAGCTTGGGAACAGGACCCTTCAAGCCGATCCATCAGCACAGAGTCTCAAAGCTGGGGATTTCTCTGCCTCAGGGGTTGAAGGGGAAAGGTAATTCTCGGCAAAAAGTCCTTGGGATGTTTTTTCCCCAAACTTTTGGTGCGCAACCAGCCCTTGGGATGTGTCGTTTTGTTCCAAATGTTGGTGGCAACCAGTCCTTGGGACGTGTTTTGTTCCTTTCAAAATCCGGCGGATCCTTGGGAAGATGCCCCGCTTGCCAAGGCCTGGAGCTGCTGACGAACCTCACCACCATGCCGGTGCCGGCCAGCCACTGCTTGTGGGGCGACCCAGGCGGCCTGGGCGGACACCCCGATCGGCATGCAGGCGTGATGGTTTGAGGAAGGTTTGGACACGCAGCCAAAACCCGTGCTTTGGAACAGGCGGCAGCAGTCAGGCTACACTGAGAGAGGATGTTGCCTTTGCATCAGAGGCATGTGTCTTGAGTCTTGATCTCCAACCCAGCCACTGAATTTGTTCATCGAGGTCGCACATTTGGCCCCTGGTGAGCACGCACTTTGAGCGGCTACTCCAGGCAGGATAAAGATTCCACAGGGCAGGCAGGTTTTGATTTGGGCGGATAAACTTGCTCCCTGCAACTTCGCCGCCGATCTTTGCTTGCAGCCATCGGAAATCGACCCCTTGCCTTGATGACGGGTCGCTGGGCTGTTCGGATTAGACATCTCGGAATCGTGTTGATGAAAGATTCCATGGCGCGGAGAATCCACAAGCATATCTTGATATTGCGCAATGGTGTGATGTGGGAAGGACAATTTCCCGAGCCTTAGCCCGGAGGGACCTCCTTCGCCTAGTTCGCCGGCTGAGTTTCTTCAACGAAAAAATACCAGATGATGAATGAGTGGTTGAAGCAGGAACAGGTTCTTCTGCAAGAATGCTGTTTGCCCTGGCGAGCACTCGGGGCCGAAGGGTCACTGGCCTGACCAACGCCAGTACGTCATCGCCGGCAACGGCGTCTCGGAGACCCAGTTCATAGAGCGCCTCATCGTCAACACGCTGAGGCGAGCGCGCAGTGGGCTTTGGGCATGGGCGATGTCCGAATGCCGGTAGAGTGGCTAGAGGCGTGAGACTGCGATGGATGTTTCTTCGTGACATCGGCAAGTGAAACAACCTCAGGGCGGGATGTGCCGCTTTCAAAACTTTGCTGGAAGCGGCTCTCTTGGACAGCGGGTTGCAACAAACAAAGCCTTCCCCGGGGGTTGGAAAGAAGGAACTCGTGTGGACACGGCGCACGCAGAATGTACAAGCCACACCAAGACGTGCATGTACCCGTTCTTTTTGTTTTTTTCTCTCGACTTTGTTTGCTTGTTTGGTTTTGGCAGAGTTTTCGTCATTTTCTTGTTTTGGGGCACAAGCGACATCACAAACTGTATTACACATTTACAGTTGCACGTGTTTTTGCTGTTGCTGCTTAGTTTCTTCGTTGCCTTCAGTGGCAATTGGCATCCTGCGCCTTGTTATTTTCTGCTGTCAATCATTTTGTCTTGGGTTTCCACGCCCTACATTTAGACGGACCGTCACCGACGGCAACCGGCGCACAGACTATGGTAATATCTTTGGAGTGGCGCAGGGATCGACATCCAGCAACTTCTGATTCAACTAGCGTCCCCCTCCATGTAAAGCAATGATTCTGCTCTGCCACGGTTCACTGCTTGCTTTGCCCAGCTTGAGATTGACGGGCCATTGTCGCTCCATTGGGAGTATGTGGCATGTGTCAAGATGCCCAGCTTTGGGAAGGACAACGGCGAAACCGGGCTCGGGGCGCTGTCCCCGGTTTGGGCCAAGCGCCGGTGAAGCTTCCAGGTTATGCATCCGGCTCATCGGCAACAGTGAGCTGGTTCCCACTCTGCTGATGCTCACACAGTGTCTTGGCATGGCGTTAAGAGTGCTTGCGCGAATTAAACCCAAGATTGTTCAGCTGGCTGTGGGTCAAAAATAGGCAACCCCAAAATGGAACCCCGGAAAATGGAACATGGGACAAGCACCTGCGATCCAATTCCTGATTTAACTTTGACCCATACCCTATTGACTGTCAACTTTTGGGGCACTCACCAAGGCACTTGTCCAAGCTCCCCGCCAACCTCTTTGCTTCATACTCAGAGAGGCGCCATCGCAAGTCATGTGTATCAGACCGGGCGGATGACCTTGCGAGAAGGGATTGCTTCAGAGCCTTGACAAAGATGGCGGAGAGACGGTTGGGGCCACACGGAGATTTCCTAAATCTTGCACGTTCACCAACCACGTCCAACCACCAAATCGCGCTCAAACACGGATAATTAGACGCTTTCCCTCTGCATGGAACTAGCACCTGAGCCAAACCCAAAATCACGATAAGTGCAGGGTTCCCAGCTTGGAATTCTACAGCAGACATCGCTCGGCCAGGATCGCCTGTGGCACTTTGGTGTTGGTGCAGGAGGCAAACTTGCCCCACAGCCTGGAGCCAAGACTTGCGACGACCAGGGTTCCGTTTCGAAGAAAGGTTTCTACGCAGGTTTCTACACATAGGCCTGTGGAGGTTAAAGTGCATTGGAGGGATGTGCAACTGGATGCAACTGGTTTGGCATTGTTGGAAGTTTTGCTGGAGTGGAGTCGTTGGGAAGCGGCCAGGCTTAGCTAAGACTTGGCATCGAAAACCGAGAAGTAACTGGTCCACAACAAGGACATTCCTCCAACTGGGGTGTTCTTGGGGTTTCGCAATCTGGTGCATTCCTTTGCGGTTCAGGCCAAGGAGTAGATCAGCTGACTTGGGGCACTTGCGTGAGATGTTGTCTGAGGCGGCCTCTGCAATATCTTCGCCTTGCCAGCCTTGCCAGTTTTTTGGGATGGGGAACTGGAGAAGAATAGGCCGGCCCGGTGCAGAGTGTTTGGAAGAAGCTCGCAACACATTTTGGAACATGTCCCGATTTTGCCCCCCCGGCTGGATCGCGGGCTTGGATCGTTTGCTTCAGCTTCAAGCAGCTCGCACCTGCCATCCGGCAACAAAATTGCAGCGAAGTAGTGTTGTCCTGACATGTTGTCGATTTGCGTTAGCCCACCCTCACATGTTTGGCATGCCTTTGATGAGTTTTCCTATATTTGTCTTAGTGGCCAAGACACAGCAGCTGTGAAATGCGCTGCTTGCGATGTGCATGGCAGGTTGAAGCGTATTGCAGAAGTGCCTTCAGGCAGGGGAGTCTGCCAATGCCGCCCAAACGCGCGAGCTCTTCTTTCTTCGGCAGATTCCCTTGTACCGCAAACCTGTTGCTTGGCTTATGCTGTTCGGAACTGAAGACACACCAGAATCACTGTTTGTCTTGGACTTGAAACTGATGTGCGGACATGTGCGGACACGCAATCCCAGATTGTTATTTGACTGCACGCCTTGTTGGAGCAATCAATCAAAAGAAAGCAAGGAAAGGGGAAACGACACGCTAAGCGCACGTCCGACATCCTCACCTTGAAGTGATGTTTATGTTGGCTTTGCCTTGGCAAGCGATTTATGAGCTGCGTTGGTTCCCAATTCGCGTGAAGCCGGCATTGTTCCTTTCAATGCTCCATGAAACCTAGCACGTTACAAGGGTGCCGACAGTTGAAGAGGGACACTGCTCAGAAAGCTTCCTTTTTCCAGAGCCCATGCTTGGCAGCGCGGTTCAAACCGGGCGTAGTGCGTTCATGACCAAACTGCCAGGCCTCAACCAGAGCCGAACTATAAGTCGTTCGAAAGATCGTGGCCAAGACATTTTGGCTCACCTGTGTGGCCAGGCGTTGGTGCCTGCAGCGCTGGCATTGAGTGCTTGAACTACTGGCTGTCGGATGACCAGGAGCCAGAGTTGACCTCTCTGGTGGCCAGCAGGGGGTTTTGCCACCACTTCCCATGCACACAATTCGAGCAGTCCTCTGGCATTTGCCTTAGTGGACGACTTGTTGTGTCAAGGTCCGTACATTGATACTTGTCCTGACAGTCTACGGGCCAATCAGCATGTAAGATAGACGCATGGAGTTCTTCTCGGCAGAGGAACCTACTTTTGGATGCTCCCTTGGTGTTCCATGCTGGTTTCCAGGCAATGTAGAGCACAGAAACAGAAATGGGAATCCAGTGGCAAGGAGCTCTCTCGGCTCTTGTCGCTCCAGCAATTCCCTGAGTTGCTGAAGACTCTGAAGGCGATGCTGAGGGAGGGGAAAGCCACCAGCCTGGTTTGGATCCAACATGGGTTCATCTTTTTCATCAAGCTTATATCCAGATTATCGAGGTTGAGGTTTGCTGTCCTGTAGAATCTTTGAGTTGGCCCCAACCCATACGTAGCCTTTGTTGAAGCCCAGAATGACTGGCGTGTTGGCCCGGAGGCCTTTGGCCAGCACAGCACCAGCGCCTCCACAACGGCGCTGGGACACCTCTCCAGCCTCGCCCGAACCGCAGTGGCGTCCACTTTTTCTGAGGCAGACTTATGACGAGGAAAAAGAGGCAACAAACAGAACATAGAAATAAACTAGGTAGTTTTGACATAGGACATGCATGGGCAGCTTTGAAACATGGAAATGATGTGCAACCGGCTGTGGATAGTTTGCACGTGGTTCAAGCGGAGCTTCACCCGCTCCGGTGTCGCCCAGGTGCCACAGCTGGCGCGAGGTGCCCGGTGCCTGCCGCCGGAGGCTTTGGGTCTGGAGGAAACAACATGGTGCTAACAGGGCTCAACAGAGGAGCAACAGGGTCCTCTTGACCCAAGCATCGGAAACCCAAGTGATGCCCTTTGGTTTAACATGTTCAGCCTTACAATGCCCAAACAAGGACTAAGAAAGACAAGAGGCGCTTTGTCTTTCTTGCTAAGACCATGATTTGGACAGTTTCCAAGGCGCTTTGTAGAATCATCGTGTGTCTCGCTTGGACTGGCTGGGATTCATGTTTGGACTCGCTGGGTATATGTTGGACTGCTGGGTCATGTTCCCTTTTGAAGGGGCCATGATTTGACATCCCCCAAGCCTCCATACCAAAGTTGATGAGAGTCAACATCCCTTTGTACAATTATGAGAGAGGGTACGTTACGGTGATTTACGGTGCAGCTATCGTGGCAAAGGTACCCACATGACATTTGCAGGTCTCTGTATCTTTGTTCAGCACAGTTGGTTTCCCTCCCGCAAAAACAAATAGACGTGAGGGCATTCCTTTCTTGACGGACGGCCGACTCCTGTGAGTGCCTGCGCACTCTCATGTGATGGAGAAGGGGGAGGCAAACCTTCCTGTACTCGTTGAGGTGGTTGGATATTTCTTGACGGGTGAAAGTGGAGACCAAGCATCTAGAAGATGCTCCCACTGCCGGCACAAACACCCACACGCCAGGCCCAGTCACAATGGCAGTCGCTGTGGGTCCGGGTGCTCGGGAGCAGTCAGAGAGACAAATGAGGATGCTGCAACAGTTTGAGTTGCTCGACGGCAGCATGCTAATGCGTTCGAACGGTGATGCCGGTGATGCTGCTGATGCCGGTGATGCTGCTGATGCTAGGCTCTGCCGATGATGATGATGATGGTGATGATGGTGATGATGGTGTTGTGGTGGTGATGATGATGCTGATGGTGCTGATGATGGTGGTGATGAGTTGTGGTGATGATGATGCTGGTGGTGCTGATGATGTTGGTGGTGATGGTGGTGATGGTGGTGATGATTTTGCTGGTGGTGCTGGTGATGATGATGATGATGATGATGATCATGGTGGTGATGATGATGATGATGATGATGGTGGTGCTGGTGATGATGATGCTGATGGTGGTGGTGGTGATGATAATGGTAGTGGTGGTGATGATGACGATGATGATGTTGCGGTGTTTGGTTGGCAATTGCATTTTTGTTGGATATGATCTGTTTCCAGTGAAGGCAGTTGAGCGACGAAGCCAGCCTCTCTCCTATTCTGCCATGACTGCCATCGCAAGCACCGAAACAGGGGATGAGGCCACTTTACCATTTCTTTGTCTTTGTAATTGCCAGATTGTCACCCCCCACGTTGGTGCACGATCAGGACAACAAAGGTAACGTCTTGAAACCCAAAACATTTGGGCCTCAAGTTCACGGCAGTTGACACCAACATGTGGCTGCGTGCGCACCCCTCCAAGCGTTAGGTTTCTTTGGGTTTCTTCTCGGTTTCCTTGTGAAACCACCAAGAAACGGTCAACTTCCACTTGACACGCGCCGACCTTTGCGCCTAGGTGCCCACGCTGCAAGCGCTGGCGGACATCGCCAAGGAGGGCTCCCAGCGCTCCTCTGCACAGGCGCTCGAAACGGGACTTGGACGGCCACCTTGAACGGTTCCTTAAACTTAGCGTTTGAGCTTTTTACTGGGTTTAGCGGACATTTTTTCCGGTGGCTCCCAGCCATCCAGTTCCTTAGCTCTTGAGCTTTTTAGTTGGTCTGGTGGTTGGGTTTCCATTTCACTCACTACATAAACGTTATTCACTTTTGGCAGGGGAGCCAGCTATCCGGTTCCTGAGCTTTTCAGCTTTTTGGTTGGTTTGGTGGTTGGGTTTCCATTTCACCCACTAAACGTTATTCACTTTTGGCGGGGGAGCTGAGGACAACCCAGACTTTTCTGGCCGGTGAACTTAGCAGGTCAGTACCCATTTTCGAACAATGATGGAAGTGGACTTCAGCAGCAAGCTTCCTGTCCGCTTCCATGATTGTTGGACTGCCACATTGCCATGGCTCAGTGACAATGTAAATGGTCTCTTCACGAGGAAATCGAGCTTCCAAATATGGGTTCCGATATGATAAACACACAATAGGCCCCCATTGTGCATGATGCAAGTAGGGTTCAACTTTAAGTTGAAATGAACACCGGAAAATAACAATCAACACAGGTGGGTTTGGCGGGTTGATGAGTACCGGTTTTGGGTAATCACCTTGGTTTTGGTGGTACCATTGTGGTACTGTGGGCTGGAATGACTGATTCCAGGCCTTTGTGTACCTCCAACGGCTACTGCTGGAGTGCGGCACAGATCTGGCGCTCCCCTGGGCCTGGTGCCTAGAGTCCATAGGGATTCTTGGGGACAGGCTGAATGTAGGACCCTTTCATTTTTGTTCAACATGCACGTATTTGTTTGTTTGTCTGTTTGCGTGTCTCTGTGTCTCTTTGTCTGTGTTGTTCTGTCTCTTTGTCTCTTTGTCTGTTTGTCTGCCCGCCTGCCCGTTTGCCTGGCTGTCTCTCTGTCCGTCCGTCCGTCTGTCCGTCTATCTGTTTGTTTATTCGTGTCATATGTCAAGACGGATGAAGACGCACAAGAAGGTCATGGCCCTTGCTCCAAATCAGCATGTGACCTATGCCCCAGGCCTCGAGCCAAAGCTCAGGAACAGTTGGAGTTTGCAGCATGGAAGGAGTGCTTGGAGCAGGCGCGAGTGTGAGCCGGGAGGGCGAACCGGATGCCCGTGGGCCACTCTTTGGAAAAAGTCGCCCCAGCAAATGTTGGTGAGGTCTGGGTGATTGTTGCTGAAGAGTTGTTTTGGCCTCATTCAAGCCAAGATTTGGTCTGTAGCTTTGTAAGTCGCATGGACCAGACGATGCTCTTAAAGCAAGTCATTTTCACGCGCATTCAGATCCTGATACTACGGATGGCCTGACTTCACTTTTCTCATGGGTGTGAATTGGGCCCTATATGGATTGGTTGCCTCATCATTGGGCGATATTGAAGCTCAAACACATGCTTCGCAGCGAGTGTTCACAACCCAGGTTCCACATGTCTTCGATCCGGTGGATCGACGCGTGCCACAGCTGGCAGGTGCTTTTCCCACTGCTGCAGTCGCATCGAGGCCAGAGGGTCAATATCTCTCAAGCGTTGCGGATAATTAGCTTGTGTGGGGCATCTTGTGTGTGTGTGTGTGCGTGTGCATGTGCGTGTGCGTGTGCGTGTGCGTGTGCGTGTGGGTGTGGGTGTGTGTGTGTGTGCGTGTGTGTGTGTGTGTGTGTGTGTGTGTGGGTGTGTGTGTGTGTGTGTGTGGGTGTGCGTGTGCGTGTGCGTATGCGTGTGCGTGTGCGTGTGCGTGTGCGTGTGCGTGTGCGTGTGCGTGCGTGTGCGTGTGCGTGTGCGTGTGCGTGTGCGTCTGCAGAACCAGGTTTGTCAAAATCCGTGGAATTCATGCACGCCAGCAGTGAACGGGTTTGCGGCGGTTGCCCCAGACCAGGTGGCTTTCAGCTACGTTTGTCGTGAACGGCGTTACTGACCCATCGGTTCACAGCGGACATCAGTGGACGCATTCGCCTGACGCACAGAGGTTTGCGGCGGTTGCCCCAGACCAAGAAGCTTTCAGCTACGTTCGTGTATGTACCCCGATTTGTCAAATCCGTGCAATTCGTGCATGCCGGCAGGGGGCAGCCGGAAGAGTATGTGGGCGGCTGCCAACGAAGACCCCACATACTTTTCGTGAAACGTACCTGCCTGAGAGCTGCTCCTGGGTCCCGTCGCGGGCAGCTGGAGGGCTCACCCCTAACAATCGCCCTTAAGGCCACTGACTTTGCACGGTTCAGTGCTAACTTGCAACATTTCATCTCATGTTTACGTGTTTGAACGTTTGGTGTTTGACTGCCGACGTGGCATTCCCAGTGTGTCTGGCTGTGCTTTCTGTCAAAGTGCGCAGTCCTAGCAGCTTGCCTGCTAGAGAACCCTGTTTATCTCACTAGACAAGAGCCGTTGATATGGTGGAGCCTTTCTGGCACGTTTACACGGGAACGATCGCTGTTTACAACGTATGGTCGTGGCCTACTTGACAGGCCAGTTTACCCCATCATTACTGCATCTCATCCTGCCTACGTTGCAGGCACTCATCTGGAATCATTCCTTTCGGTTTACAACGAAAAGTTTACAACGAAAAGTTTACAACGAATGACTTTCGACGAACAGCTCCTACGGACGAATCAATTAGCCAATAAGTGCACGAGAGTTTGAGCCTCACCAAGGCCCTCCATGACTCTGACCTGATTTCAGATCCGCAGCTATTTGGCTCCTTGTACGAACCATATACAAGGTTTGCTACCGCCGTGCAATTCGACATGTCGCACTACTCGTTCCATTTCTACGGAAACATGGAGCCGATGCACCACTCGCATCCAGTGCCTCCGCCTCGTCCTAATTCGGGGACTATCCGCATGCATGTCCTGCCGGATGCTAATCCGACTGACCCCCAGCCTGCCCGAGCGGTCACCTTGACCCCAGCTTCCCAGCGACAGAAGTCGAGATCCCGAAGATCGAGATCTCGACAGCGCAGGCACCGCAGGCGGACACCACGCAGGTCCCGCTCCCGATCCAGAGGTCGCAAGACCCACAGAGACTGTCGCAGACGACCCGAGCGCACTAATTCGGAAGTCCGTCTGGATCCCCGCTGGAGCCAAGATAGACCCGCAGGACCACCCGGAAATGTTTCACTGTTTCCTCGCCCTCCGATGTCGGATCCTTACGATCCCACGCCGAGCCGGCCAAGTCAGCCGAGTCAGCCGAGCCAGCAGAGTCAGCCCGCACCGCAGAATCCCCGAACAGGGGACACGCATCGTTACCACCTGGTGCAACCTTGGCCACCTGTACAGCCTAGTCCGGCAACTTTCGGACAAGTTGCACCACCTGTGATTCCTGCTCCGCTCGCTTCGCACGCGCAGTCCTCAGCGGCCTTGAACTTTTCAAGCAGCTGCCCTGCACCGCCGGTGCCAGGACCGCATTACGAAGCTCCTCCGCCTCTGCCTCCGCCTGGTCTGGGTGTATCACCCTATCAGCAGACTCCGTGGCCGCCAATGTGCAGTCACCGCCCACCTCCTGTACCATGTCCGAGAATTCAGCCCGGTCCGCCGCCTCGAACACCTCCGCCCGTGCATGCAAATTCGAGACCAGCGGAGCCTGCGCACCCGCCGGCACGACCAACACGCCAGACATCTGGCAATCCAGACTCTCGAGGCCCGCATGGACCGTGTCAGGCAGTCCCCAATTTGATGGATGCCCGGGCTGAAACGCCGCCTCCCTACCCCGGAGCAGCTGCCTCTCCACGCACGGTCTCTCTCGCGCTTGCTCCTCCGGCCAGTGTACAGGCGACAGCATCTCAGGATCAGCATCCTCGAGATGACACTCCGTCCAATAGCCGCCTCCGTAAGACATCGGCCAACGATGCTTCAGGAGGACGCACCGATGCTTTGACAACAAGTACAGCCCTCGCCAAGTTGACCACCCGAGACTTGTACAGCGCCTTAGAGGAGCAAACCCGGGGGTCCGAATTTCGGATCCCACCTCCGCATCAAACTGCGACAGCTGCAGGCCGCACCGAATGGCTCCAGCCAGAGGTGGCCCTCACTCGCTTTTGCGCCGCTCCGCCATTTGTCGAATGTTTAAATTGGGTGATGTGTCATTTGGACTTCACCCTTACGGAGTTCCCGCAGTCCCCCGCGGTCATGCAGAATTTAGTGATCGCACTGACCGCCAGCGGTATTGATTACCAACGCCGCATCCGCACACCAATTCCTGCTTGGATTGATTCCGAAGAGACCATCATTTGGAGACTGTCATTCAGTGACATGCCAGGTCCTGTGTCCATTCAAGCCACGGGCGACACTCACGTTCGCTGGTACCATGGCACCACCCTTTTGTCGGCTATCGAATTTTGAAAACGGGCAAAGTCATGAGGAGCACACGTGAAGGACTCAACATGCCTGACACTCATGACTGCTATGGCTTTTTTGCGAGGGCCCACCTTGCGGGCGGTACCGCGGCCGAATTGGCTGCATTTGCTGGGCAATGCGCATATCATACCAAGAACGCGAGCGGCCTAGTTTTTTCTGGCGGGTGCCGAGGGAAATCCACTAAGCCCACGTCTGCGGACACGTGGCGGGAACAAGAACTCGCACGAAGGTACGAGATTGTCCACTCCGCTAGTAAAGACAAGCGATGGTGTATTAGGGAGTCGGCAGCTTGCTTGACAGATTTATTTGTCGTTACAGTAAAGGAGGATCAGCAGTGGGGATCCTGGGGACAGGCGACAGGCCCCGAATGCTGGACATCCTCGCCGGGTGAGGGCCCACTTGTTAAATCTGTTATTCCCAATCAAGGTGCGGTTTTGAGTGCGAATCCGGCTCAGACAAGTCTCACCCCACTTGACTTCGCATCTCGAAAAAAGTCCGCTTCTCAACCGTGCATTGTCATTACCTTTTGATGACCTTTCTCGCATTACCTCTTGGACCGAATTGAACACTGCTTGATCCCTTGCAGCTGTTTTGATTCCCCCGGAACGGCCCGTTGTTGATTGACCCAATGAGCTGGAGTAAGCCCGTCTCGTCTGACAAGTCTTGGGACCACCGCTCGTGGAAGTCCCGTACTACATGGCAAGACGATCAATGGAATTCTTCTTCGTGGAACCCTGGTTGGCAGGATGCCAGTCAACCTGTTTCATCGGGAAAATGGCCCAACAAGTCATGGCAGGATTCTTGGGAACACAAGCCTTCGCCCGACTCCCACGGCCCAGCCACCCCGGATAAGAGGACTCCCATGCGGAACCCCGACCTTAAGTACAGCCCCTCGGGAAAGCCCAGCGGCGCTCCTACCAGTTTTCCGGGTTCGTGGACCACGGACGCCCACCATCATGACACCAAGCCGATATTTGGGCGCACCCTCCCCAACAAAGTGGTGGAAACGGCGTGGAGCCGCCGCAACAACCTTGCTGGTTTGGACCCCTTGCAGGTTCCAGTGTCCCTCTTATGCTATAAAGGCATCGAGAACGTGTCATTGCGTTGGCTCGCAGCCGGCGACTTTGTGTCGGTCATATTTGGCAGATCGATCAAGGAAACCGTTTTATGCGAAAAGCTGATGCAAGAACTTCGATCCCTTGGCATGGATATTGACACCCTCGCCCAGAACCTTTGGCAGAACTCCCATCCCACGCAGGCCCTTGCCCTCAATTCCCAAGAGGCCCGCGCCGAGCTGTTGGCCTTCGTTGCCAAAGAATTGGTCGCCCCCCTACGCAGTCAAGTGACCACTGATCTCATCAAGGCCCAGGAAACCATCAAGAAGTTGGAAATGCAGATTGCTTCTACTGAAGCCGGTAAGGATGCGCCCAACTCATTACCTGTGGCGGCCCCCCCCAGCAAGAAGCGTAGAACTGTTGAGGGTGCCCCTGCGGCGGTTGTCTCCGACCTTGATGGTTTTGACTCCCAACGTCCGTTCCACATGGACTATGTTGTGGCAAACCGCACATTGCACCAGTCGGCCCCCAATGGTCACACCCCCGCGGTCGTCACCAAGTGGCTTAAGAACCTACGCCTTCCGGATGGTGTCGCCTCGGCGTTCAAAGATGCCATGACCTGCTCTGCCGATTCCGCCAAGGATTTAAGCCCGGAACAGAGGTCAAACCTCAAAGACCGCGCCGCGGAATTCGGA